TAATGAGGATTTGGCTATTAATTTTGACAGTCTCTGCAGCTGTGCTATTGCCTCCATTAGGAGGTGCTATTGTCCCTACATGTTTCAGCTGCTGCTCCTGCTACATTCAGGTTGCCTCTCCTGCTGCTGCAGTAGGTCTTTCTCTGCTTTTTTCTCATCCACCCTCTGCCTAGACTTTGCTCACCCCCAGTCAATATGGAAGCCATCCTCCCACACTATTTCCCATCCTTTCTCACCCCTCTTTGCCTGAATCTGCTTGGCATCTTCTGACTCATTCTCCACTTGCTCATAAACACATTCTTCATGTGTCATAGTACTTCTTTACAGAAAATACAGGCTGTCTCATTTCTTCCACATCTTTCAGCCCTATATCTTCCTTTTAATTCCAGAGATAGTGATAATCTCAGATTTTACATTCCCTCTCTGCCACAAGACATATCCTCTTGTGTTCTGAGATCATCTGCATAATTTGTTGTGTGGTCACTGTAAGGCTAAGGAATTTACAACAACTTTTAATACCCTTCTTAATACACCTTTCCTGACAAAGATCACAGAATCACAGAATATTAGGAGTTGGAAGGGACCTCGAAAGATCATTCAGTCCAACCCCCCTGCCAGAACAGGATCCCCTAGACTGGGTCTCACAGGTGGGTTTTGAATGTCTCCAGAGGAGACTCCACAACCTCTCTGGGCAGCCTGTTCCAGTGCTCTGTAATCCTTACAGTAAAGAAGCTTTTTCTTATGTTTAGGCTGAACCTCCTATGCTCCAGCTTGCCCCTTGTCCTATCATTTGACATCACTGAGAAGAGCTTGGCTCCTTCCTCCTGACGCTAAAGATGTAGCTAGTCTTGCTGGACACCTGGCAAAAAACAGTGACTCTGCCTGCCACATTACCCCCAGTTGCCCTCCACAGCTGCTTGGTATCTCTCATGCTGGAAGATGCCATCCCTCAAGAATGAGAAAACTAATGGGCTGCACTGTTCGCACCAGTTCAGCTCATGGATAACGGCTGTGGATCGATGCTCACAAAAGCAGCTCTGTTGACAGAGGGAGGGAAGCTGTTAGCTCCTGAGGCAGAGGCAGTGACAAGAAATTGCAGAAAGTGTTAAGAAGTTCTACCAGCAAAGCTGGGTTAGGACAGGAACATCCCTTCAGCATCCCCTTTAGCCTGTCTGTAGGGCTGTCTGAATACCTTCCAAGTCTTCCCCTTTTTATTAATATATAAGCTTCCATTGGCTTTTAGTTCCTCATCTTGATTCAGGGCTGGTTAAATAACTGGAGGTAGCTTTTCATGTGTCTGACTCACAAGCAACATCATATTTCTTTCTGAGCAGTTCTGAATTCTCATTCATAAGGAACTATAAAATGCCCAGAGGACCAAAAATTCTTTCTGGCATGGACCCTCGTCTCTGGACAATGCCAGAAAATCCAGTCATTTGGAGCAGAGATAAAGTTCAGTCCAGAACATCAGCTCTGTTCTTTCTCAAAGATATTTAGTGCTGAACCTAACTTTTTGGCTCATCTTTGGTAAATGAATGTGGACAGAAGTTCCAGACCCAGATCTTTGCCTTTACCGCCTGGAAGTGCGTACATCTTAAAAGCCAGAGAAGTTATAAAAAACTGCTGTTCTTCCAGAGTCTGTCAGGAAATCCTTCAAATGTTGCTTTCTGACTTGTTTTCTCTGGCCTCCCCAATACTGTTTCTTGTGAGCTGATAGTTCTGTGTTCCCATTGCTCTTGAATCTAAATAAATAGTATTAGAAGACAGTGTACTTATGAACTCTCTGCTGCTAATTGATGCAGCAAAGTCAAACGGAACAACATGATCTGTTCAACCCTGCTCAGGGCCTCCAAAAGTGGCTTCTGGCCCTTGTCCCCATTTTGCTGAAGATAGCTGATTTATTCCAGAGAAATGAGAGGCTGAGTCAGCCTTACTGGGAACTGAACCTGCTCTTCCAGGAAGACCCCTGTGGGGTTATTGTCTGATGCTTTACAAGCTTTATAAGCACAGGAAATTTATCACATCTTTTCCAGCCTTCGTCTAATCAGTGCAAAACCAAATGTAAACAGTGGTTTTTAGCTGTTATTCAAACCTGCTTCTTCTCTAGATGTTTTATAGATACTTACTCAATGCATTACAACAGTATTTGTTATGTTGTGGTGAGCACACTCTCAGCAAATGAAACAATGAAAAACAGTGGCAATCTCTGATCCTTGGATCATCCTCACCAGGTGGTGAAAGGGATTTTCTGATTTCATCTCTGCATGTCTGTGTAATGAAAATGGATTAAAACCATAAAATTCAAAGAGGTCCACAAGGACAAAGTTCCTTCATGGTCATCACATGACACTGTTAAAACTACAAAATGGCCAAACTTCACTGTAAAAGAAATCAGTTGTTTTCTTGCTCACTTTGATCATATTGGAAGGTGGTTTCCCCAGATCTCCTAGTTCTGGTAAAGCAGGTTTCACCATGTGCCTGATGTTTCTATCTCCCTTTAAATGGCAAAGAAAAAAACCAGGAAGAGTGTGAAAATCATGTCAGATTTACCTCACATTCTACAAGCAAAAAGAGAAAATGTACTTGTAAACTCCTTATTTATACAGGCACTAATATTTCTAGGTTGGCTTCATAAGCACATCTCCCGGAGAAGTCAGGTTACCTGTACATTTCAGTATAAGACTCTACATTGCTAAATGTTTTATCTTATTTCATTAACTTAGTGCCAAGTCCAAGCCAAAGCTCTGAAATCGCCCCTTGTTGGCAGTCAGTGCCTTCACCTGGTAGCATACTTAGTGGCTGCATAAAATCTGCACCACTTTCCAGTCTGTATTGCTGTCTCTTTTGTAGAGGAAATTGAGACTGCATCTTCAATCTGCTTTAAGATGTATCTCCTCAAGTGCCGGTGAATGGACTGCTGCTGCAGCCACAGGTGTCTTGTGTGTGTTTTGCAGGCAGAGAGTGGAAAAGCCCTAAAAGTCTGATCCTTGCTCTGAATGCACAAGGTTTGGCTGGGTGAAGTTGCTACCAGTACATACAATCACTCTCTGTGGGTTGAGTTGCTGTAAAGGGTCTTTACAGTGAGGATGCCAGAGCTGACCTCCATGCCAGAATGCTTGGATTTAAATTTATATGTGGCTGACATTCAAAGAAATATTTATTTCCTCAGCTAAGATAACTCCAAATTTGCAGCATACCTCAAACCTCATTTTGCATCTGGCAGTTATGTTTGCTATACCATAGTAAAATAAAAATACAAGTGGGTCCTTTTATAAAGATGTGATGCACAATCTGGATGTTTTCAAGTGCTTTGCTTTTGGGGGTTAAAATTAATCACCCAGTTCAATGCCTCTGGGTATATTTTTTAATCCAAAATATTTCAGTGATCGAAATCACAGAAAAGTCCCCAAAACAGCTGTATTATTACAACTATAGGATGATGAGTTGTCATGCTGGGCAGGAATAATTAGGTAATGAATGTGGACTGTGAATGGAAAGCTATTAATGGGTTTAGTTGTCAGAGAAATATGTACATGGAACTGCTCTGAGTCTAAAATGGAGTGAAGTAGATTTAGGTATCTTTCATTTGCTTAGATTTCTACTCTGAGACAGCTGCCATTAATCTTCCCTCCAAGGAAATAATGAATCCTCTTTATGTAATTGCTGTAAAAAGCCTTTCATATTTTAATTTCAAACTTGGCTATCTGGAATTCATAGTGTTTTCAATACTGAATACTGGGTGAATTCAATATGCCCAGGACATAGGTCAAAAGCATCTTCAGCTTTGTGGCAGTAACAGTCTGTGGACTAAGCTTCTTTTTACCTTGTTTGGAGAGAGTACAAAATGACCTTGCTTCTGTCTCCCATAATCCCCTGCTGCAGTGCAACTAGGTGTCATCTAGAGGATCCATATACCTAGATAGACTTCTGCTCCATGAATCACAGAACAAGAGGAAAAAAGGACTGTTAGAGAAATGCAGCTATCTGGACTGTGATAGAAAGGGAGCGCACCCTTAGTAGAGTGACAATCACCATCTTATCCTAGACTAGCTGTGTGAATACAACAGCACAGAGCTGGGTACTGCCAGGCTTGTAGAATCACAGACTGGTTTGGGTTGGAAGGGATCTTTAAAGGTCATCTAGTACAACCTCCCATGCAATGAGCAGGGACATCTTCAACTCAATTAGGGTGCTCAGAGCCCCATTCAACCCAGCCATGAGTGTTTTCAGGGATGGGGCATCTATAGCCTCTGTGGGCAAACCTGTTCCAGTGTCTCAGCACACTCATCGTAAAAAATTTCTTCCTTATATCTAGTCTGAATCTGTCCTTGATAAATCTTCATCTCTGAGGTGGACATGATCAGATTTAAGGGCTCTTCCATGAGGGAAACTGAAACTAGAGTGGGTGGCCTCTTCCTTTCCCAATTTCCTTATTAGTCATTGCTATTTTATGCTCCTTGACCCTCTTCAAGAGAAAAGGCAGAGGAGAACATCATCTGCCTCCAGAATAGTTTATGTCACAACATAAATAACAATAGTTGTGACCAGGACATATCCTGTTTTCCTGCTGGTTTTGCGTACTTTGTTCTTATCTTGCAGCTTTCATTATTTGCACATTTCTCTGTACCCTGTTTGTGCAACTATGACAAATGCCTCTGCTTGTCCTTTTGTGGACACTTATAGTTATCATGTGTAGGCTTATATGCCATTGTTGCTGGTTGTGTTATTAGCAGTTTTGCAATGTTACAAAATACTTAAACACGGCTATCAGCTGTGCTATTTAGTGGATTCAACTGAAGTTAATATTAATTATATAGCCCTTAGTGTGGTTCTACTTTAGGGTTTTCTGTATTGGCTACTCCAGCTGTGGGAGGAAAAAGACTTGTCAGCTCTGTTGTGAGCTTCTTAAAGCTGCAACAGAAGTAAGGATATGAGAGGCTGGGGCTTCAGTTCACAGGTTAACTTCTCTATGACTAACAATATATTCCTCTTCTTTGCAGCGGGTCTTCCTAATGTCCTCTTGATCATAGGAGCGCTGGTTCTGCTAGTTGCAATAGCAGCCTCTGTTATACTTTATCAGTCCTTCCGAGTTGATATTGTCCTATTGTATCGGGAGATATTTCAGCCCTACTCAGTCAAGGATGGTGAGTAAAAATTGAGCAAGAAAGCTTAAAAAAAATGAAAAATATAAAACATATGGAAATACATTTATTTGATAGTTGCTTACTAACTGTATTTGGTTTAAGTGATTGGGGTTTTTTTGGTAGCGGGGAGGGACTGCAGGGGTAGCTGTTGTAAGAAGCTGCTAGAAGCCTCCCTGGCTCCAGTTCAGACCTGCCTCTGACCAAGGCCAAGCCAGTCAGTGCCTCTGCAAATGATGAATTTAAGTGCATTGATGCCCCCACCAAGACCTTGACCAGTGCAGCCCTGGTATGGATGGTGCAGCCCCAGTCCAGCCCAAGTCCAAGCCCAAGCCCAAGTCCACTCCCAAACTCAATCTCAAGATAAAGCTCAAGCCCAAGATCAAGCCCCATTGCAGCTCCAGCCCAAGAGTTAACTCTTCAAGAACCAGCAGAAGAAATCTGCAGCAGAGAGAGGAGTGGGATGTGAGAGGAAAAACTGTGCAAACACCAAGGTTGGTGAAGAATGGAGGTGAAGAATCTCTGACAGGGCAGAGGTTCCACTGCAATATGTGGTGAGATGGCAGGTTGACCCACCTGCAGCCCATGGAGAGTGAACGTGGAGCAGAGATCCACCTAAGAAGGTGGCTATGCCTGAAGAAGGCTGTGATTAGGTGGGAACCCTGTGCTGGCGCACTTTGTGGGAAGGACTGCACCATGCAGAAGGGAAGCCCACACTGGAACAGTTTGTGAGGAAACTGCAGCCCATGGGGAGGCTTACAGTGGAGAAGTTCATAGACGACTGTTTTCCATGGGAGGGACACCAGGTGGAAGCAGAGGATGAGTGTGAGAAGTCCTCCCTACCCCTGAAGAAAAGGAGTGGCAGAAACAGCATGGAGTGAACTGACTGCAACCCCTATTCCTGTCCCCCTGCACCACTGGGAGGGACGAGGTAGAGAAACAGAGAGCAAAGCTGAGCCCAGGAAGAAGGGAGGGGTTGGGGAAAGTGCTGATTTTAAGATCTGGTTGCATCTCTCATTATTCTACTCTGATTTTAATGGTAACAAATTAAATTGTTTTGCTTTTCCCCAAGCTGAGCCTGGTTTTGCCTGTGAACATAAGTGGTGAGCAAACCCTCCCTGTCCTTGTCTTGACACATGAGCTTTTTGTTATATTTTCTCCCCTTCATCCCACTGCAGCAGTGGGGGACAGTGACCAAGTGGCTGCATGGTGCTCAGTTGCCCACTGAGCTTAAAATATGACATTAACTCATACAACACCTGAGCCTAATCCTTCACTTTCTCATGCCTTCTGAAATAGTTTCAGTAATGGAGGAAAAACATAGCTCTGTCATTTACATGAAAGAAATCTGAATCACTCTAGAGCTCACTAACTGCAATGGCTAATCCTTCACTGATTGTAGCAGGAGTTTAGATACCTAGCTTTCATGTAGACACCTGAATTTACATGCATTAAATCTGAAGCTGACTCCTACCACAGATGTCTGCATGGTAGATATCTACAGCTGATCTAGTTACTTATGTTCTCTTCAAAGAATAAAGAAGTATGCTTTTTAGGGCAGTTTCTGTTTATATATTATGATGAAATTAATCAGACTCTGGAAATGGCTATTTCTTTTTTTATTGGATGGTCTGGACAAGAACTTCAGATAGCAACAAAAGAAGGGATATGATCGTCCTCACTGGAAAGAAATGGATAAAACATTTGGGATTACGAAAAAATGCTATAAATGAAAACATCAGAGAGAGATGAAGAAAACAGTGAATGAAATAGTTGACTATACTTTGTTCAGACTGAAAGACTACATCCCAAATAAAGAAGCTTTTTACTCAGAAGTGTGATATGTTGTGGGAAAGATGAGTAATTTCTTCAAGGTGGAAGTACTTAAGTAGAGTCTCTTGTCCTGAAAGACAGAGGCTGTTAACACCCTATTGTATCACTGAAATAACAAATGCTGAGCTTCCTCTCTATTTCATGCTAATATGCACTGATCAATTGAATTCTTACTCTATATACTTTGAGATACAGCCTTCACAATACAAAGATCAGGTTCTCCAAAATTACAAATACACAGGATGTAACAACTGAGCATGGAGAACACTAAATGTGCAGAGTCTCTAATTTCCAAACATGCATCCATTGATATGCATTATTCAGATTAGCATGAACGTCTACTTAGATCTATCTCAAAGACTGATACTCTTATTTTTTCATAACTTTTGCAATAGACCTCTCTAATTCATGTTAACAGAATACACTTTCTTCTTGTTTTGCCTTACAGATGGGAAGATATATGATGCATATGTTATCTACCCTAGAAACCATACCAATGAAGCTAATTTTGTGGAATATTTTGTTTACCAAATCATGCCAGATATTCTAGAAAATCAATGTGGCTATAAACTGTGTATTTATGGGAGAGACATATATCCTGGAGAAGGTAAGTTTCAGCTTAGATAATGCACTGAATGACTTGTCAAGCTGGAGAAAACTGTGGTTCTGGTATTTTTTAGAGGTACTGGAGGTCCTCTTACATTCCTGAGCTGGCCACTCATCTCCTCAGCAGCTGTACGTTCACTGTTTCAGGCAGGGTGACGCAATGGCACTCTGTGCTTCCTGGTGTGCTAAGAAAAGGAAGCTACAGGGCAGAGGCACAGATTGTTTACCATCTTCTTGGGCCTTGCAGGATATGTGACCCCAAGTGTGGCTCTTTTAAATGTACACCTGCTCTTCAGGTACTGCAACTCTGCATAGCCGTTATATGGGCAAAGCCACAACCAAACCATGTGTGAGTAGGTCTACATGACCAAGAAGAAGAAGAGAAACCACAAACTAAGCTGACAAATTGACCTTGCTGTTAATCACTCAGGGGTTTTCAACCTGTTATGAGGGTGTTAGAGTCACAGGAAGTTCAGCTTCTGTTCACTGACATGACCTAATTTCACTTCACACTATTCCTAGGGCTCATTCAGGAGCTTATTTATTCCCGCTTTTTTGTCTTCCAGAATGGAATAACGTTAATTAATCCATGTTAAATTTCCATACAGAATCATAGAATCACAGAATGGTTTGGGTTAGAAGGGACCTTGGGGATCATCTGGTCCAACTCCCCTGCCATGGGCAGGGACACCTCCCACCAGACCAGGTTGGCCAAAGCCCCATCCAACCTGGCCTTGAACACTTCCAGGGAGGGGGCATTCACAGCTTCCCTAGGCAACCTGTGCCAGTGTCTCACCACCCTCACAGTAAAGAATTTCTTTCTAATATCTAGTCTAAATCTACCCTCTACCAGTTTAAAACCATTCCCCCTCGCTCTATCACTACCTGTCCTTGTAAAAAGTCCCTCCCCAACTTTCCTGTAGGACCCCTTCAGGAACTGGAAGGTTGTAATAAGGTCCCCCCAGAGCCTTCTCTTCTCCAGGTTGAACAGCCCCAACTCTCTCAGTCGGTCCTCATAGAGGAGGTGCTCCAGCCCTCTGATCATCTTCATGGCCCTCCTCTGGATCTGCTCCAACAGCTCGATGTCCTTCTTATATTGGGGGTCCCAGAACTGAATGCAGTACTCCAGATGGGGTCTCACGAGAGCAGAGTAGAGGGGCAGAATCACCTCCCTCACCCTACTGGTCACAATTCACTTGATGCAGCCCAGGATGTGGTTGGCCATCTGGGATGCAAGTGCACATTGCCAGCTCATGTTGAGTTTTTCATTGACTGACATCTCCAAGTCCTTCTTATGGACACCTCTAATCTTATGATTGCTTTCATCCATGTACTAGTTGCTTTCCATCAGAGCTGACTTGTCTGTTTATTTTGTGCTCTGGTTATTTTGTGGATGAGATCTTCTTTCCCTGTCAGTAAGCAGGTATGAAGCCAAAGCTGGCACATTTTCTGTTACACATTTCCAAAATTGTCTTGGCCACTGGGTCAGGTGTCATTTACCTGCCTGGAGCTGGACTGACACCTTTGATGTCCTTCTCTTCTGGAGAGTAGCAAAAGTGCTGCCTGACCTTGGGAAAACCCACTGCAACAAAAAGTTTTTAAAAAGCAGCAAAAGTTGCTGAGCCAGATGATTTCCAGCATGCCAGATCCAGAAAAAGGAACTAATAGTAGCTCACAAAACTGCCAATGACAAAAATTTATGCCACTTGTTCAGGTGCTTAGGAACAGGGCAATATTTTGTTATGAAACACTACTCACAAACTGTGGTTTATGGATGGCAATCCTGAAGAAAACTGAGTAGAGCATGCAACTGAGCTGAAGACTATGGCACTAACAAGGGCTTGAATAAGTTGGATTAAAACAAAGACATTTTCACTATACAAAGGCATGAATGGATGCCTGTGACAGGCAGAAGACTCACCAAGCCAGCCTTGGACAGTGAGTAACTTTTGCTTGACTTGTCTGCTCTGATTTAACCAAAACTCTAAAAATGTCCTCAGTGTTGAGCGTTGTCCTTCTGTTTCTCTTCTTGCATACTTTCCCAGGCTTCTGCTTTTCTCTTCCTTGTCCACTTTCATGCCCCTAAATGCTTCCACTTTGGTAGAAAAGCTATTCAGAGTCTGTCTGCCACTGGCAGGACTTAAAAGTCCTCTGCTTCCAGGCAGATGGGCTTAACCCATATGCTCCTCACTCTTGTTTATCTTCTGATGAGCCTTTCATGACCAGGTTTCCAAATCCAAAACCTTACAATTAAAATATGCTAAGCACAGAGTAAACCAGGAAATTCCACTTCAAGATACTGTGATACTTTCTGAGCATGTATCACAGCGTTTGATGAATCATAATTTTCACTGTAAAACTCCATGTATTTCCAAAAAAAAAACCTGCAGTGAGTATATAAAATGGAATTGTTATTTCAAGAAATGCTCTCAGTTCCAGAGCAAAGCTTTGTTACTTGAAACTTGTGTTCTTCCAGGAAAAAGGAAACGTTAAAGAGAATGATGCAAGTGATAAACAGCCCTGCATAGCTGTTGGACTCTCATTATGCTTCTCTGAACTACTGTTCTTTTTGGTTCCTGGTCTTATTGCATAATGGCATTTTCTACAGACTAGCAGTTTCCTGAAGAGGTACAAATGCAAGTATTACACAGCAAACCAAGATGTTTCACTAACATCTCCTTCTACTCCATTCTTCATGGTCGCATGGTCCTGCCAACTGCATCCCTTGCTATGGAATCTAACTCAATGCTGCTGGAGATGCCCTACCTGTAATACACAAAAACATGAGCAAATTAGAGAGGAATGATCATGCTTCCTTGGAGCAATGTTCTGTGTAGCCAAGTGTCCCATCTTCAGCAGTGGCCATGGGCAAAAGACTGGAAAAGATTTTAAGAACAGGGCAAGCCTGTATTATACTTCCTCGAATGTACTCTCTCAGCAGTTTGTGGACTTTAGATGCTTGAATTTTTGTATAATAGCTGCTGATGGATTTTTCATTCACAATATTATCTGTCACTTTCTGAACTCATGTAAATTTCTGGCATTCACAAAATGAGTTGCAATGTATTCCTTGGTTATAGGATTTGCAGCATGCAGCTCCACCTTTCCTTTTGCTACAAGATGGCATCCAAATGGAGAAGTAAATAACACCCCAGGTCCATGGACTGCACCTCAAAACTGAGAAAGATTTTCTTTTAACTTTGTTATTACAGGACCTAAACATATACTTTAATTTTTCCAAAGGATCTTTTCTCCTAACATCAGGAAAATTTAATGAAAAAGAAGAAGAAAATGAAAGGAGTTAGAATTGGCAATCATCACACAAAGGCAAATTATTTTCATGAAACACTCTCAGAGCCAAGAAATAGGACAGAGAAATCATTGAAAGGGTTCTCCTCCTGACCCAGAAGCTGAAAAAGCTGTGCCTCTCTGAGACTGAGAAGAACCTTGCCATGGACTGGTAGCCCCCAGCAAAGGGAAAGGGGAAGCATATGCAGCTGGCTGATGACATCTGCAAATCAGTGGCTTTGTTAGATAAGTGTTACATTGAATTTCCTTAGCTCAACTCCCGCTTTCTTTCCTTTGGCATGACATGCTCCCATCAAAACAACTCCAGCTTTCATTCTACAGACCACAGACTCATCTAACTGTGACCAGCATTTCACTGGACAGGCACTCATCTGCAGTCTTCCTCTCATAGCCATCATGACAGGTCATTGAGAAAAGCATCTCCTGCAGGCCTTATGTGGAGCTTTCCAAACCGGCCAAGAGGTTTTTTCTCATATCATGCTGGCTCTTGAGTTTCTTAGGTCAAACACCTCCAACATCACAGTCCCAGGTGCACACTGTGCACCCACAGTCATCCAATTCTAGGTTCTGGAAACAAGTGAGGTACCATCAGCAGTGGGAAAGAATAACACCTTTAATCGTGCTGAAATATGAATGCCCTGCAAGTCTGGATCCACCTCACAGGGTGGACGCCAACCCAATGCACAGGTTAGTGTATAAATTAGCATGCTATAGCTCAGGAGACATAACACTCCCTCTGCTGGTGAGTAAACTTCTTAAAAAGTAAGTCACCCCAGATGATGAATTTTCACGGGTAAATATTGCAGGATCAGTCTATAAAGCATTAAACTTGATAGAACATGATTCCTTGCATGGAGGCTATTGATAAAGAAAAAAAATGATGCAATCCAGAACTGAACTTGACCCTAGGTTGTTGGATTAGAAATTCCTAACAGTTCTTAAGAGCAGTGAAAATATTAATGTTACATCCAAAGGAAACATCTGAACAGAAAGCTTCGTGGTTTGTTGTTATGGTTTGCCTTTTTTTTTTTTTAAGCTCTTTTTCTAATGAATAAACTGCATGAGAGAGAAGCGAGACAGAAATTATTACTGGTTAAAAAGTGATGAAAATGAAGTGCCTAAACACATGAGAGTTTCTAAAAAAAATGTCAGGGTCTCAGCATTTTCTTGTCCATTCCTAGATACAGCCAGTGCAATTGAGAAGAGGATGCAGAAGAGCAGAAGGCTGATCATCCTTCTAACACAACAGCTGATTAATTGCAAAGAATCTGCTTATGATCAACACCTTGCTTTACACAGTGCCCTAATTCAAAATGATACAAAGGTGATCCTGCTGGAAATGGAGACCATTGGGACTTATGAGAAGCTTCAGGAATCTCTCAGGTTTGTTATTAAGCAGCAAGGTACCATCAAATGGAAAGAGGAGCACACTGTGCACCCACAGTCATCCAATTCTAGGTTCTGGAAACATGTGAGGTACCATATGCCACTGACAACCAAGTTCTCGTCCTCAGCTAATGCCGGGTGAACAGTGACTCTAAGAAAATACAGGTATGATCAGGATGAACCACATGCCTGCAGCTCTTTTTCCTTTCACTGGGTACATGATTTTACAGTCTGGAAGTCTGGCTGTATTTTTGAACACTTTTCAGTCCTTCATTTGTGTAGCGATAAGGTGAACTGATGGAGGAGGTCTGGGGAACTGAGGGAAGTTTTTATCGGTGTGGGAGTTCTGTAAATAAATGATTCTTGGTTGTGTACAGAATTTTGCATGTCACAGGAAACAAAATGGACCTATACTCTTCCTATGTACACTCGTACATATACCTGAAAGTTTTGCTTCTGAATAGCTGAATGTTCTGCATGTTTGCTTTATCTTTCTAATGCAGTCAGTCAAGCATAAATGCCTTCTGTATTATTCAACTAGAAAGCATAATCTGTATTATTCAACTAGAAAATACAATGTTGTGCTTTTTTCATATTTCCCACCACTTATTCCTCTTTGATAAATAGCAATACTCATGCCATGAAATCTTATTCTTATTCCTCAGTAAAAGCTCTTTTGTATGATGTGAATATAGCATTTAAAAAAACCTGGAGCATTAAGGGAAATAAATATACACTGATATATATATTTATATGTATTTTTAGTATTTCATATATTAAAATGAATCTTACACGAAGAGGAAATTTAAATCTTTCAAGTCCAACAGACTATGATGTTGCTATTGTTATCTCCAGATAGAAATAACATTTTAAAATTTGAGGGGTTTTGTTTTGTTTTGTTTTACACTGATAGCATTCCTTTATGCTACTGAAGAAAAGAGACCTTACTGCATTTTTGTAACAACTATAACCCCTCGCTCTGCTTTGGCCTTATGTCTGGTTATACTTTCTTCTGATAGTGAATATTTTGAGATGCAAATGTGAGTACCATTTCTTCTCACAGAAAGCATACTAATACAGGGGCATGAGTAAGGGCAGGAAAACCTGTTGTTTTTCACTATGAAGATTTTTCAAAGCAGCTTCTCAGCAAGACAGAATGTTCACTTCCAAGATTTTTACAAGATCAATTTTTAATAGAGTTTGAATCCTGGGCACTTAATGAGAAAGAAAAGATGATAAATGAGTATCTGGGGAACAAAAAGTCCAGGATGAATTTTGAAGCTGGAAAGAGATAAGAGGAGAAGGTACAATGAGGAAGTGCATGGGATCAGCAATGAACCAAATTATTCTGCAATGTGCTGTCTCACGGACTTTTGTTAGACAGGCATGTGGTTAGGATGGTGAAAAACAATCCCCCTAAATGGCTCTTGTGACGACCCTCCCTTTGTATCAAGTTTTGTGGACAAGAAAGAGAAAAAAGAGAAAATAATAACAAGCAAAATCTAACAACTCTTAATATGGTTTGCCAGCAGTGGAAAGTACGGCCTCGATAGAAAGAAAAGGGATAGTTTCTAAGAGTGGCAAAGAACTTTTACGGAGCTGGGAGGTGAGTATGTGACTTTAATAATGACCAAAAAATGCTGCGGTTCTCACTTCTTTTTGCATTCCTTGGTGGTTAGTATAGAAATCTGAGAGATGCATTAAAATTAATGTATTTTTTATAGATGTTATCACATTTGTAGTATTAAAGAGAAAGCATGAAAAGAAATGTGAAAGACTTTTACAACATTACCGCAACATCAGCACCGGTAAGGCCATACCTGGAGTCCTGTGTCCAGTTCTGGGCTCCTCAGTAGAAGAGAGACATGGACATACTGGAGAGAGTCCAACAAAGGGCCATGAAGTTGACGAAGGGACTGGAGAATCTCTCCTACGAAGAAAAGCTGAGAGAGCTGGGACTCTTCAGCCTGGAGAAGAGAAGGCTCCCATCTGAAGAGAGGATGCACAGAAGAAGGAGTGAGGCTTTTCTCAGTGATGCCCAGTGACAGGATCAGAGGCAACGGGCACAAACTGAAACACAGGACGTGCCCTCTGAACATGAGGAACCACTTTTTTACGGTGAGGGTGACCCAACACTGGCACAAGTTGCCCAGGGAAGTTGTGGAGATATCCTTAGAGATACTCAAAAGCTCTCTGGATATGATTCTGGGCAACCAGCTCCAGGAGGCCCTGCTTGAGCAGGGGGCTGGGACGAGATAACCTCAAGAGCTGCCTGCCAACCTCAACCATCCTGTGATTCCGTGATATACAACTTGCAAAGAATATAAATTTTCAAAAAGGTGTTTTTAAAGAAAATTCACAATTTATACACTAGGCAGTCTGCCTCAGTGAGTAACAGAAGGACAGTCGGCTCTACAAAAAATCTCTCACCATAGGAAGCTCATAGAGGAATCAGTTTGGATGCTTAAAGCTAAACTACACAGAAAAGAAGGCAATTTTGTTGCTGAATTAGAACTTCCACACAGAGATTTAACGTTCTTAACTTTTGCTCTGTGCTTCCCTGGTTTTGGTGCCTCAAGTGACTCTGGAGAGCAGCTTTGCTGTCACTTGTTATCAGAGCGGAGTCATCGTGCCATCTAGTGGATGAACAGGTACCGAGCGATTCAGACCAATTGGAAAAAAAATCAGTTTAAGAACAGCATTAGAATTAACGCCAGTAAAATGTTCAGGGTGTGCATACAGCTGTAATCTCCTGAAACCCATACAACATCACTTGGAAACGGCAGCTCAGAATCTGACACTGCGAATGCAGTGCTGACTCTCTTATAATAAAGTATTTTGAAGGAACAGAACTGTCTCCTTATCATATAACTGCAGTCAGAGTTGTATGGCCCTAGTTAGAAATTCTTAACTCTGGATACTTCAAGTCTGAAAATATATGCTGCATTGCTGGCAATAAAGAAATAGCAGGGACAGGAGCAAGCAATTATTGACACTTATGTCAGTGGTGAAGCTCCTGGTGACTTCCAAGGTATGAAAACCAGCTCCTGCTAATATGAAGTAGGATACCTGCAGAGAGTACATAGAACATACTGCCCTCCCCACATATGCATTTAATACACCCCAGCCCTTTGTGTGAATGTATTTGATGGTTTGCCCTTGAGGTCTCCTGTACTGTTGGGATTTGATGTTCCTACAGCTCAATGAACCATGACACATGCTGGTTTCTTCACCTAAACCACAGTCCTGAAAAGCCAGTCTAGCTATTGCTCCTGCCAAATGCAGGGAGAGTTTTATTTATATTTGTTTCACATGGTTTTCAAAGCCCAAGAGACTGACCACTAGAAGGAAACATTCAGAAGGTTTTACAAGTTTTTGAGCAAGCTATTATTTGTAGGGTATGCAACATTAACTTCTTACAGCGTTGGACAAAGGTATGTTTGGAAGATGACATGTAAAATTGATAGTATATTGTATTGAAAAAATTGTACATGTACAACTACACCTTCTTGACTCTTTCAAGGGCTGAAGAACTACAGCTGTTGTGTCAGAAGCATGTGCTCATGTGTTCCTTTTTCCCACTTTAAAGCGTGAGCTACCTGCCTAGTTTTATATTAAAGAATTTGATGTATGGCAATTTATTCTTTAAAACTGTTTCCAGTCTTTATAGATCTCCAGCTTTAGGAAGATTATGAAGCAATCCTCCTTGAAGCTGTTTCAAAGTAAATTAAGGAGAAGGTGGTGGCTGGATTTACAAAAGGTGTATCATGCACATCCAGGTGTGTCGTGGACAATAGGAGAACCCCGAATGCTGCCGGTCACGAATTGAACATGGCCTTGACATGGTCTCTGCTGGTGAAATATATATGAATGTGGACAAAGGTGAGTGGAAAAACAGTGGTAATTAAGTCTATGCAAGATCAATGTGTTGCAATCTGTATACAAGCCTCATGGCACAGTAAATTACTAGTGGCATCCTCAGGGACTGATACTGGTATCACTACTGTTTAGCATTCTTATTAATGACCTTGGCAATGGGTAAAACTGCACAATCAACAGGTTTTCAGACAGAAAAACAAACTGGGGAAGGATAGTTGACACTATCCTCCTGAGGGCAGAGCTGCTGTTCTGGATGGAAACAAGCTGGAGAAATGGACTGATGGGACACTCACAAGGTCCAGCCCATATGCAAAGTGCTGCATCTGGGATGGAATAAGCCCATTCAACACCACAACCCTGGAGGACAAAGCCGCTTTGCAGAAAGAGACTGGATGTCCTGGTTGACACTAAGCTGAACATGAGTCAGCAGTGTGTGCTTGTGACAAAGGCAGTCAGCTGCAACCTCTACCTTACATGTGTATGTAATTGAGGAAAGTAAGTATTCCCCCGTATTCAGCATTTGCAAGGGTTTCCCAGTACAAGTGAGGCACTGGCATACTGGAATGAGTCCAGGGAAAGACCACCAAGAGCACAGGACATAGAGGGAGAGGACAAGAGGTCCTGTTTCTGTCTACAAGAATTTAATGGAAAGATAAAAGGAATGGATGGAGACAGACTCTTCTCAAAGGAGCACAGTAATGGGACAAAAAAGCAACTGGCACAAATTAGAGCATGGGAAGTTTAAAGTACATATTAGAAAAAAAATAATTGTCATATGCATGGTCAAATGCTGAAACGTGTGCCCAGAGAAGCTATGGGATCTCCAGCCTTGGAGGTGTTCGGGTCTCAGCTGTACATACCCTGAGCAGGAGTTGGACCTGGCAACCTCCAGAAGTCCCTTCCAACCTGAATTATTCTGTGATGCTATGATGTAGAGGAAAGCTTGAAAATGTGCAACTTACTTATTTTAAAACTTTTGAGAAGCATATGAGGCTCTAACAGACACATTATCAGTCTGGAACTTGCTCATATCAGGCACAGACAAAGCTGAAAAAACTATGTAATATTACTTAACTTCTGTTAAGTATTAACATAACTGCTATACAAAGATGACAGAGGTAGATAAAAAAGGGCTATTACCAGCTAGAAGTAAACAGGCCCAGCCTGTGGTTACAAGAGCTGGATGTGTTGCTATTTATGACGGAAATAGTTTCACAGTTTAGGTTTTCAGTTAACACTTCTGTATTATGTGTGTTGGATGGAAAGGAAGACGTGAAAAAATGTGAGAAGTAACTGGCCTTCCCTAGCTGATAGGTCAGGTGGCCAGAGCTTCACACAAAAGTCTGTTTTTCAATATTAGTGCAAACTTTCATTTTCATCATGGTATTTTCACAATGAAAATTGGAGCTGTAGCTCCAATTTTTGGTCAAGTTACTTCTCTATTACAAGGCTATGACTTCTCCATTAAAATTGTGTCAGTGTGAGGAGTAAAAAGTGTAAACTTTATTCTTCTTTCATTTACATTCACATATCTCAGAGCTAACTATGACATTAGTTGAGAGGACTAACTGAACACAGCACTTCCTATAACACAGATGAAAGTTCAGAAACTTGAGAGTATTTCAAAAGGATATGAAAGTAAATGAATGTGAGAACAGCTCATGGAAAATATTGTTGTAAAAGAGTGAATAATTTAAAAAAATGTTTCCAAACTGTCACCATCAAGACTTAGCCTGTCAAACTAAAAAGCCAATGACAGCTTACTTTACCATTTTATTTGTTGGGTGTTAAATTATTTTGGACTCTCGCATAAAATCATTATTCTCTTTATGATATATGTTTTTTTTTAAGTGTTAAGATTGGGCACTGAATCATATAACCAAAACCCACCACAAAGTACCTTGTACACATTCTTAAAGTAGTCATAGTGGGTCAGATTCTTAGCTGAAGTTGGCCTGATTTACATTAGATTATGGTCTGATTGCTTTTATATACAATAGTTTCAATCTGTGATGAGGAAAACAAGTGAGATGAGACAGTAAAACTCATCAGGGTTTGCTTCATCAAAGCTGTCACTAAACAAGTTTCTGAACATGAGAAGGGTGATATGAAAGCAAAAGAAATCCTAAGGGGATGAATTTTTCCCTGCTGCTATCGAAACAGCTCTATTTAGAAGTATAATGGATCATTGCACAGTACATATCAAATAAACCATTCATATGAAATAGCAGCAAGCATACATTTACTCAGGAACAGCACTTAAATAGGAAATACGGCTGTCAGAAATCCCTGATGGAGCTACAGTTCCAATATATCACCATTTGGCTAAATAGCAGGCTCAGATACAGGCATGAAGTCTTATTTAGCAGTGAATATATACTCCCCCTTTGCAGTAATGGAGCTATAAAATGTTCCATGTCTTGAAAGCTTGCATTACTCTCTCCCTAAAGGGGCTACTAGCACAGAAAAATAGCAATGAAATAGGGATGTTTCTGATCACAGTATCAGTAGATCTTTCTGTAGGATCATGTGTTTTGCCTTTTGTCTTTTCTTGCAGATCATATTTTGTGAGGGTTTTGGGTTTTTTCGACTTCTTAGGTTTTTATTTTTCCCCCTTTTAAGGTCTTTGCAGAATACCAGTCTTTCAGGATACAGTTTATCTCTTTGCACATCCTCATTCTCAAACTGGCCAGCGAGGCGGGGAGGAAGCTGTAGCAGAGATAACAGTTGCTATATTTAGCTCAATATACTTGTTCCTAAACCTCCATCCTACTTCCAACACACTTCTTGGAAAAAGAGTCCCGCAAAAGGCATTCAGCAGAAAAGCGGAGGCGTTTCATCTAAAGGTAACCGAGGACATCACCTTCTCATGGCTTTTTTTTCCTTCAGGAGGTTGTGAGAGGTAAGACCCCTGTCTCCTAAAATTTGCTTGGCGGGGGCGGGGGGCACCTCTGGGTTTCACTCACGACTAGGTAAGAGCCCAGCACCCTTTGGTAAACCCGATAATACCTCAACTTGCCTTCTCCGCGCTGCTGTCTGGTCCCGGTCCCAACCCCAGCCCAAAACCGGGAAGCGGGCCCGCGGCGCTCGCTTGGGCCCCCACAGCCCGGGGCAGGAAGGGGCGGTGCGGCGCGGAGCTCCCGCCGAGCGCCTCGGCTGCCACCGCCCTCTGGCCAGGTAGGTTTTTTTAGGGGAGGAGGACGAGGACAGGAGGGTTGGGGGTGGCAAGGCTGTGCGCGGGCAGCTCTTTCTTCTCTCTCTCGGAGGAGCCGAGCTCCTGCCTCTGTTCAGGGCATCTCTGCGGGTGTGCGCGCGTGTGTATTTAGTGGGGGAGGTTCTTCGCTTTGCTCTGGCAGCCCCATCCCTCCAGACCCGCTCGGGCAGCGTGCAGGGAGGCGGCAGGTCCTGCCCGGGGCCGTCCTCTCTGTCCCCCATAAGCCTACTTGACCCTCCCGAACCCTGCCTGTCTCCTCAACCCTGCCTTCGCTCCCCCTGCCCACGATGTTGCGCTGTGCTCCCCTAAGCCACCCAGCTCGGGCACCTCTCTCCGGCTTTCTCTCGGGCCCAAGATTTACTTTTTCCTTATTATAGAGATGACATAAATAACTTTGCTATGAAAAGAGCTTATTTCAACGCACAGCCCCTCACTGGCACTGCAAAGTCGCCATCCCTGGAGTGCCCGGTTCCTTTCCCCTCACACCTAGGTGGCTTTGGAGCAGGGCAGGCTCCTTAAGTGCTACTGTAGATGGTAGCAGCAAAAGATAATTCCCAAAACAGTTGTGTATCAGCCCTCATATGCCTCATTTAGAAAAGTTAATATTTGTAATTTGCTATTACTTTTCCATTAATGCTAGTAAAAATGAATTTCTCACATTTACCTTTTCTGTTTTCCTCCCTGCAGTTGTCAGTTCACAAAGTGAGAAATTCCACTCTTCCTTTTTCAGGAGGTTTTTCAGACTGAGCTGTCTATGTATTGACTCACTTATTGAGAGAGACTACTCTCTGTTTCAGTGATGAATTAGGTTCAGAAGATTTATAAGTACAAATTGTAACTCTGCAGTTTGGAAGACTACCTCTGTGTCTGCTTTCCACCTGGCAAGACTCGCATAGTGAGTAAACAACTTCACTTGTGTTGTTTAAACTGAAGATGGATTTTCATTTTAAACCAGAACTAGCAACCCTGCCAGAATGGTGATTAGACCTAGAATGGTTAAGGTGACTGTTTGTTAGATCCTTTTGTTTCCTTCATGAATCCTACGTGAATTATGCACTGTATGGTGATATTTGAAAAAGACTTAAATTCTACAAGAAGCCATCCTTAGAAAGGTAAGATAAGTGTTTTTCTTCCTTGACCTCAACATATTTCTTCAAGCAGCCTGACGTACAGGAGAATCTGCTCATTTTAAAAAAGGGCAGTCACAATGCCTTTAGGTTTCCAAAAGTGTTCATCAAAACAAGCTACTTGAACAAAACTGAGGATGACCTCGATGTATCAACCCCTTTCCATTCCAAAATCTTCTGGTGATTGTAGGAGAATGAGGAATAATTGTAATAATGCTTAAATACAAACAATTGTTTACTTCATGAGGTATCATTAATGCACTTTACAGAGCTTAAACCTTCAGTTTGTTTAAAGTTTTTGTTGGCATCACAATGGCACAATGATTTGAACCATTTTTCATTATTAAAATCCCATCTGTGGCTTTAACCATGGATTAAATTTGAAAAACATGCTTAAAGCCATTGTCGCTTTGGGCCTTATAGACAAATAAAGGTTTTTTTGTACTTCTTCTGTTGAAACTGTCGTCCCCACTACTGCCTTAGTATTTTGCCCATTGAGTATTTCTGTACTTCTTAATTAGGCAGAAAATCTTTGCATTTAGTTTAAAATATCTCTCGATTTCTTTCTGAAAATTAAAAAATCTATTCTGTTCCTTGAAGAACCTCTTTATATTATCTGCATTTTACCAAAAAGATTTTTCTCCTCCCCACTGCCCTGCCTCCTCCTGCCTCTAGTGTTTCATTGAAGAGTATGCAAACCATGTGGCGCAAATGTAAATACTGTTAGCCTGAAGTAGAACAATTTCAGACAAATTGATCAGGTTCAACATCAATGTGAGAGTAAGATTAAGGATCTGTGTTTTGCTTGTTAATATTAGGCACTAATCTCAAACCAGTTTATTACTAAGTAGCTTGCATTATACTATGTTCTTTAATCCCTGATAAAAAAAAAGAATGAAGGGCTCTGCTCTGCATGCATTAAAACTTCCACTGTATGCTGACGTAATGTGCCAAGAAAGAATGGCATTTAGAATTAAAAATCTGGTGATAAATTATTTTATCTTTATGTAGTGGTTCATTCTTTCATAGTCTCTAACAGCTGTATTTCTTCTGAATGTGATAGGGTAAAAAATGAAAAGTAAATTAAAGAAATGAAAATAAATAAATTTAAGAAATGAAAATGAGAGACCCTTCTTTCCTTGTAAAGTGTAACAGTTTGAATCTCCATGTGTAGCAGGGAACTGAAACCAGGTCTGGTGAATTTACTGTATGACTCTTTAAAGTTGCTTGTTGCAGTGTTCAGTATCCAGCTTCTTTTAGCTGCTTTCTAAATCTGGATCTGTCTACCAGTCAGTCTGAAAAAGGGGATGTGAAACAGATCTTTCATCTCTTTACAGTGATTTATGAGAGGATGGCATACTAGTAACGAACTGAGGAGAACAATAAGGGAAGGAGATCAACTACACATTTCGATGTCATTCTGGAATATTGCTGGAAATGCAGTAGCCTTCTGCCTCTGGCTGCTTTACCTCATGAGACGTTTCTAACTGTAAATCTCAGGACAGTACCTTACAGTAGTAAGTATGTACTTTCTCTAATTGCAAGATGTTTAGGTAATAAAACCACAGAAACGGAATGCTAATGAGTTTTCTTTTGGCAGCTCTTTGTGAAATACGTCTTGTGTGTGTGTGTGTGTGTGTGTGTGTGTGTGTGTGTGTCTCATTTGTCCATGCATGTTTGAGTCAGTGGCTAAGCAAGGTTGTCTCTCTTGGCTGCAGAGGTTGAAATGAGCTTATTATTCACCTAATCTGTCTGTTTTGTAAGCAAAACTGAGGCACGGTCTTAGGACTGGCTCTGCAGATCTCAGATACAGATACTCCACGTTGGATATCTCAGAGCAGATACTCCATGTTGGTGTTACTTAGTGATGTTTTCCATTTGCCTTTGAAAGTGCAGTTGACTGAAGCGATTTAATATGAACTTCATCTCCTCCCCCTCAGTGGAAATGTCAGTGCTCTCAGCTGGTTCTTATTGGTTCCATAGACAAAAATGTAAGACAAAATTGTAGATCTCATTATTTTCCAACAGGCTCAAAATTAACCATCAAGATATCCAACCTATCTACATTGTGCTGTTCTCACTGAAGGCAAGAGAAGTTTCTACTAGCTGTTTCTACAAGATCCAGTCTTGCAAAGTTTATATTCTTTGTGAAGAAAAAAAATACTGTCCTATCCATTGGTAGATGTCTACTGGCTTGGGCTCTGAGTTTGGGTGCTTCTGTAAAACTGTCAGTTAAATCAGAAGTGTGAAATACATCTAGTGAACAAGAAAATG